ACCTGGGTTAGTAGGCCAATGCTCAAACCACTGAGCTATTCCTTTTACCCCATATACTTGATTACATTGTGCAGCAGTGAAATGAAATGATAAACATTTTTTTAATTTTATATATAGAGATATCCCTATCTCATAGAATTGGAAGGGACCCCGAAAGGGCATCGAGTCCATCCCCCTGCTTTCACTAGCAGGGCCAAGTACTGATTTTGCCCCAGATGGCCCCCTCAAGGATTGAACTCACAACCCTGGATTTAGCAGGCCAATCCTCAAACCACTGAGTTATCACCCCCCTCCCCCCAAAAACAAAAAAGTGTCATTTTCTTAAATACATCTGACTTTTTGTATTTTTAAAAAAGGAGCAGTACAACTATCTGTGCAAAACTGGGTAGGTGGCATGAACTCAGTTTATTATGCGCTTAATTGTAATCCATTTGTATTCGTGTCTTTTAGACACTATTCTCTGTATTCAAAGCTAGAACTGAATTTTCTGCCTTGTACTGACCCATCAAGCTCTGTCCAGAACTGCTCAGTGAGGAGTACTAGCCACCTGGAGCCATTGTGAGCGCAGAGATGAGTCGCGTCAACTCAGGGTAAGCTCCTGTTTTTTTCAGGCCCATAACCTCCCTATGCAAACATTGCACATGTTTCTGTTCCATCTGAAAGGAAACAGTCAACTGGCAAGCTATTCAGTTTTTTAAAAAAGTAATTAAATATAGTTTCAAGTACTTGATCTGCCTGTTTCTCTCAGCCAATATTTGTGGTTTTATGAAGAAAATATTTTTTTTCTTTAGGATTAGAAGATCCTTCAAAGGGATCCACATGGGTGCAGCCCTGCACCTGCATGGATCCATTTGCAGGATCTAGCCCATAACCTCTTTTATTTACCATAATTTTAGGTGGTGTTTGAAACAGAAGTAGTTAAACATTTTGAGACAGACTTGATTTTTAAGATGATGGTGTGATGTTAACTCTACAAAATACAATGGTTTCTGTGCCAGACTATTTGTGCATTTGGTGATTTTTGGCAAAACAGTTTATTGTATGATAGACTGTTGAAATAGCTGAATTCATAGTACAGTTTTCTATTTTTATTTTTTTAATTCGATTTAGGGATGAAGAAGATACCTTCAAAATCTTGGTTGCCACTGACATTCACCTTGGGTACTTGGAGAAGGATCCTGTGCGTGGAAATGATACGTTTGTAACTTTTGATGAAATTTTGAGAAATGCTCAACAAAAAGAAGTAAGCAGCCTTTGGGAAAATAAGGTTATGAGACTGGACTTTGGATCCTTTCCAGAAAGTATTAGGAAGGTTGGCCCCAATCCTGTATCTGGATCTTGTGGAGCCCTTTGAAGATTGCAAGATTGTGGCCTTTTTTCTGAAGTAATTATAAGAAGGTTGCTCAATCTAAAGAGGGGTTTGAGCAAGAGTAGAAATGTAGCTGATGTTCAGTTCTTAGCAGCTAATATGGTACCTTAAATGTAATAATGAAAGTACTGGACAGTTTTCTTTTCAGGGACTCTGGTAGGACTGAACTGTTTATTTTGGAAATTGAGTGCATGATATTGGAATGAGCTCCATGAAGACAGACCCACATTGGTTTCAGTGGAGGTTGTTTGCAGGGGAGCTCATTGCAGGATTAAAAGTCAATGGAATTTAGGCTCTGGTGCCTCGTAAAATGGAAGTTAGGCTTACCCTCTATTCTTATGAGTGTAATAATTCCCAGATATATCCAAATGTATATTTGTAATCCTGATGGAGCTGTTTTGTTGAGTATCCATTCATTTAACATGTATTCAGAAATTCAGATTGGTTGGGCATCCTTATCAAAATAATGCAAAGTGAATTAATAATGATTTCTTAGGGCTAGAGACAATAAATTTCCAGCTTCTCCCCTGTGAAATACTTAAACATTAAAAAAACTGGGGTGGAACACCTGTAAAATATTGTTGGCACCTTCCTTGTCATTGATTTTAAGAATTCTGTAGTGCTGCTTTGCAAAGTGTTGTATGCTTTTGTTGTGGTGGTGGTTTTGGGTTTTGTAAATTCAGATTGTCTTTTTAATTTTTCTGAATATTGTTAGATAATTTAACTATAAGCATTTTAGGTTTTATTTGTTTTACAATCTATAAAAATGATATTAACTTAGAAGACCTGGTAAGAAATTCCATACACTTCAACATAAAATCAGTGTTTTACAAGAGCATGTAGGGAATTGCTTTTAAGATAATATAGAATACCACTTGACTATAACAAAGCTCTTGATCTGTGCAGGTGGATTTTATTTTATTAGGTGGGGATCTTTTTCATGAAAATAAACCTTCCAGAAAAACATTACACAACTGCATTGAATTATTAAGAAAATACTGCATGGGTGATCATCCTGTACAATTTGAAATTTTGAGTGACCAGTCAGTCAATTTTGGTTTTAGCAAGTAAGTATATTTTACTGTGATGAAATAACTACAGTATGTTGTGCAATTTGCTGGTTAGCTATTGTAAGCTGCCACTGCAGTAGATTTAAGAGTCTGATCCTGTAAGCGGCTTATGGGCAGACCTCCGCAAGTCAGTGGATTTCTGTGAACTTTCAGTAGTCCACTGTGTGGAGCAGGTTGCAGGATCCTCAGTCCATTTTCTGCGAAAATATTCTTATGAACTTTGTCACCATCTTTGGATGACTTTTCTAGGTGTATTGCATATCATATACATTCTGATATACGTAAGCCCAGTATTGGAAATATGATGTCCGTATACTCATTTGAATAGTCATTGAATACAATAGCACTGGTTGTATGAACTAAAATTATTTGTAGGATTATGGGGGCCTAATCCTATCTAGACTTTTGAGCTTTTAGAACTGAAAGATTTTAACATAAATTAAACTGCTCAAACTTTTGAAAACAAAATTCAGCTTTGGACAGAGACAAGGCAT